GCACAATTAAAATGATGTAATAGTTGTGATCATTATTTTACCTTCCATGATCATTCAGACATGATCAGGTGCAGTACTGACACTCTGTCAAGTCTGCATCAAATCAAGCACTCCGTAATCACAGGTAAACCTGTCTGATCAGTCAGATGTTTGTCATGAGAAGTGTTCCACAAAACAGCTATGGTTTGAGTTGATGTAACAAATATATATTTTGAATATACTGTGTGAACTCATTGCCCCGTTTGCTTGGGGAGCTTTATTTTCTACGGTGGCCGAGAAGTGCAAAACAAATCACAATTCTGAAAACAAAATAACAAATTACAAACACAAATGCAAGTCTAAAAAACAAAATAACAATTCAGAAAGCACAACAACAATTCAGAAAACATTATAACAAGTCAGAAAACACAATGACAAATTTGAAAACAAATTAACAAGTCAGAAAACACAACGACAAATCAGACAAACTGGAAGAGGTAGGTATAGTTTGAGACCGCGCCATTGGTTTGGGATTGCTCACCGCTGACTGGACGAGACATCTGTCAATCAACGTATACAGGAAGAACCAGCCAAAGAACAGCAGAGTCGTGGTAGAAAGTTCGGAGATGGTATTAAAGTAGCTCAGATTAAATGTATTGTATGAATTGCCCTTACTATGGAATAAAAAATACGGAGTGTCTATTTACATTTAGTTAAAAGTGGCTGTCAATCATCAGCTCCAGTGGCGCAGATGGATAAGCGCTTGTCGTTGGCTTTTTGACGCGATTGACCCGGGTTCGATCCCGCCTTTTACCGAACTTTTTTTCCCTCCCTTTTCAAATCTCGTATTAGCAATGGATTCTATTTACACTAAGTGCAAATACCTATTTACACTGTTAAATAGCAGGGTTTCTACTATCAAGTATACTACTTGTTGCAAATAGTGGCAATTATCTGCACTTCAGTATTGTAGTACATTATAAAACCGTATGCAATAATAACGTACTGAGTGTCAATTATAATTTTAATTATTACATGGATGCCACCTTATTGGTACAATAAAGCCCTCCCTACACCTACCCTAACCCTACCCGATACTTTCTTTTTGATTTTTTGATTATTTCCTTAATTTTTATTGAAAAGAAATGCCTTTACGATGTGATACGAGATTTGAAAAGGGACACTTTTAACCTCTGAGCTAAACTGAGCTACTTTAATACCATCTCCGAACTTTCTACCACGACTCTGCTGTTCTTCGGCTGGTTCTTCCTGTATATGTTGATTGACAGATGTCTCGTCCAGTCAGCGGTGAGTAATCCCAAACCAATGGCACTCTCTCAAACTATACCTACCTCTTCCGGTTTGTCTGATTTGTCGTTGTGTTTTCTCACTTGTTATAATGTTTTCTGAATTGTTGTTGTGCTTTCTGAATTGTTATTTAGTTTTTTAGACTTGCATTTGTGTTTGTAATTTGTTATTTTGTTTTCAGAATTATGATGTGTTTTGCACTTCTCGCCCACCGTAATTTTCCCTCCTCAATAAGTTTTGTCAGTTGTTTTGTTTATTGGTCTAATTTTAGTTTTTTGGGTTGCATTGGTTAGTCACTCAATTAATTCTCTTGTGCTTCGTTCCCCATTTCTTAATTATGTTGTATTGATAAGGAGTTATCACAAAGTAAGTCTGTTTAGTTGTGCTATCTTACAATCAATATATATTAAATGCAAGTTAAAGTGTCGCCGATGTAATTGGTTAAAACTTGGAGTGGCGATGAGGTCTTAAAATGTATGGAAAGAGTCTTAAAAAAGGTCTTAAAAGGTATTAAATTTGACTCCATGATTCCTGTATATACCCTGTTCTTATGCTTTTTTCATTCCTCTTGTATTTAATCATTATATGAATATGTCCTCATTTCCTGCAGCTGTTACCTGTGTGCGAGTCGTGGGAGGACACGGTGTGGGCGTATTTCCGGGTGATGGTGGACACTCTGGTAGAGCAGGAGATCTGTTCTTCCGGTCTGGGCAGTGAAGAGCTGGAGGAGCTGCCCAGAGAGTTCCTGGAGACCAAGTATGACTATAAACACCCTGTAAATACATCATATATACGTTCTTCATGTCCTTTTCCAGTGAATGATTAATTCCATCATTTGGCTTTTTTTAGTTGGACATTGGAGAAAGTCTTTGAAGAGCTTCAAGCAACAGAATCCAAAGTGAGAATGAATTAATGAATGAGGTTTCATTTGTAAAAGACTAAATTGATTGAAGTGTTTATTTTCTGATCTTTTCACACGTATGTTATGTTGACAGAGGGTCCTGGATGCAACCAAGGAACATTACCATGTGATTCAGAAGTTTGTCATTCTTGAAGATCTTGATGGTATGCTTTGAGAACAGATATTTGGAAGAATCTCAGATTTTCTTTTTAAAAAGTAAATAAGTTTAATGTTTAACTTGTGTTGAAAGGTCTTCTGGAGGAGTTTAGTGATTGGTTAGGAAGAAGTACAGCTTTGCCAGTTCATCTGTTGCGCTTCATGTCACATTTAGTGTTGTTTTATCGCAGTTTGGGCATGCAACTCAAGGTACGTACATTATATGGATATATTTTTTGTTATAGATTGTATTGCTCTTGATGTGTCTGGCTTATTGCTTGTACAGACAAGTGTATTCAAACGTTTGATGCGAACCTACCATTGTGATCTGTGTTTGTCAGGAGGAGGTGTGTGTAGATGTCCTAAAGACCTACATCTCCCTGTTAGTGAAGGAAAAGCAGGTGGATCTCATTGCATTTTACGTCAGTCACCTCCCTGCTGACATGTCCGTGCCACAGTACGCTCAGTTCCTGGAGGAAGTCACTGAGACTGAGCAGCGCAAACACTGTCTGGAGCTGGCAACACAAGCAGGTGAGGTCAAAGGGTCTTGTGTCACAATGGAAAGGGTGTATTTTGCGATAATGACTCACTGAACATTACATGTTAATTATAATGTTATTACATACTTTTTATTTTTTTCTTTCTTTTTTTTTGGTGTTTAGGTTTGGATGTGGCAGCGATCACAAAAACAGTAGTAGAGACCATCAGAGAGAGAGACACGGATGAGTTTGCTCACCATGACCTGACCCCTGCATTGGTGTACATTAATGAGGAAAAAAAATTAACTTAAATGATTTTAGCAAATGGCTGCAATATAACAAAGAGTGAAAAATTTAAGGGGGTCTGAATACTTTCCGTACCCACTGTATATAGTAGGGCTGTCAGTCAATTTAAATTAATTTAATTAATTACATGTAGCAAATCTAATTATTCGCAAATTATATTTGGTGTGAAAATGCCCACAAAAGATCATTTAAAGCCACTATTGTGTTAAATGAGAAAGTATCAAGTAGACATTACAACAATTAGCTTTAGAAATAAATACTTTATTTGATTTAACATAAAATGTATTACACAAAAATATTTAGGCTACAACGGCCTAACATAAACTATGGAACATAAAAGAAGATAATTTGTGAAACATCTCAGTATTTTTTGTTCATACAATGAAAGCCATTGGTAACCAAAAACTTTATTTATAAAAAAATTTTCAATGAAATTATTCTCTAAATAAGAAGGTGGTGGTAAATGTCTTTATGAAGTCATTGAGTCATTCATTTATTTGATTCTTTCAAATGGCTGATTCATTCAGGAATGAAGTAAATGGCTCTTTTATGAATGGTCTGTTGAATCATTGGTTCACACGATTTGTTCAAAACGTGGATTCATTCAGAAACGAATCACCACACACACACACACACACACACATATATATATATATATATATATATATATATATATATATATATATATATATATAATATATGTGTGTGTGTGTTAGCTTTATTGCACTTATCAACGTAACAAAAGCAGTCAAATGTCAGAAGTTTGTTTTAATGAAAAAAAAACAAGTCTTCAAAATGTATCATTTAATTTACAATCTGAAAGGAATGGAAAATATGTTCAAATACTCAGTTTAATCTCAAAGATGTCACAACTCAACACAAGTTTATAAACAAGTTTTTTGACAGCCTGTCATTTTCTGTTGCTGTTTAGATGTAGCAAAACACTTAAAGTGTAGCAGAAAGCAGAGTCATGTTTGCATTTTCCTCTGTCACTGACCATAATTCTAACGATGACATCAGATTAGACATAAAATAATGTCTTCAGGATCATTCATGCATGTGAGAATTGTACAAATAGTTGTAACATGACTCAGAAGAAGATAGGAATAATTTCTTTGTGGCAGTTTTTTGGTGATAATACAAGACTTCACCGTACAAATGGTCGTCGAAAGCAAAAATGCGAGTGCAAAACGGGCTGTTTTTATCAGCTCCCTAAAATTAGTAAGAAACAAGTATTGGATTTCATTTAGCAAATATGATGCAGGGTGGTGTTATCTATGCTAATTAAATACTTAACACTTTCTATTCTTGGTCTGTACGGTTTTAAATTGTTGTGGAGTGAAGGGAACTAAAATATATGTTTATAAAGTTATATATTTTTCGTAGCATCTAAGAAGCATGACGCTGCTAAGATGGTCTTCACCAAAGTGCCTGAAGATTCCATGCGGGAAATCTACCACCAGTGGGAGGAGCAGGGCATGGACACGCCCCTTCCTGCCGAGGAGGAGAATGCTATTCGTGAGCATCTGTGCATCCGTGCCTATCTGGTGAGAAGCTGCATCTTTCTGCATCTCTGTAATGAACGTAGTGACAGCAACATGATCTTACTGTGAGCCAATTTGTGTTTCCCCACCCCAACAGGAAGCTCACGAAGCTTTTAACGAGTGGTTCAAGCACATGAACTGTCCTCCGGTGAAACCCACAGCACCTGCTCAAGCTAAGTTTACAGAGAAGGTGGCCTATGAGATGAAAGAAGCAGAGTACAAGGTCAGAACAGACCGTCCACAATGCCGACTAGTACTTTGTAGTGAACACTTTTAGCTTTTATCTTTAATGGCTTTTCTTTGTCACTTCCTCCAGATGGAGTATGAGAACTGGCAGGGGCGTCTGGGAGCGCTGACAGAGGATGTGAAGGAGAGGATTTATAATGTGCTGCTGTTTGTAGATGGAGGTTGGATGGTGGATGTCAGAGAGGTGAGTAGGTTCTGTATTAATTTATAGTAGGGATGCATCCGATACCCCTTTTTCCAGTACTCGCCCGATACCGATACTTTTATTTTTGGTACTTGCCGATACCGATATTTGTATTGCATTTGTACATTTTTTAAATATTGGGTACAGAAACCAAAAGGATATGTATAATGTTAGTTGGTTAACGTCATTTATCAAATAGATACAGTCAAACCAAAATTTATTCAGACACCTTCAACATTTCTCACATTATCACAGTTTATTCGCTATAGTTTGGAAAATGGTAATAAAATATGACAAGAACTCTGTCAGAAACTGTGTCAGAACAAATTCATCTTGATAATGTTAGATAAATTTGATAGAAAGGTATGTAATGGATTACAATCAACCAAAAATTGTTAGTATGTACGGAAGTTCTAAGCGGCCATGCATTATTATTTTTTTCCCTTCCAAGCTCGCGCATCTGCGCCGCCGCACGCTCAATCCACTCAGCGTGCTTTGTTTATCTGCTCACGCACATCAGCTATACAGACGTTAATACTGAATGTTTAACGTTATATTCATTGCATACATATACTTCGTAGACATCCTTAACTCCTTTCAGCTGTCTGTTGTTCTGTTGTCGGTGTTTCTTTGTTTGAATATGGCGCTTATCACATGCTGTGTGGTATCGGTGTTTGGTATCGGGGCATTTTAATGAGTACAGGAGGCCAGTATCGGGCCCGATACCAGTATCGGTATTGGTGCATCCCTAATTTACAGGTTTGGCAAACACAGCTGTCATGTCTGAGGTCATTTATAACCTTAAATATATACACATATACACTCACACACACACACACACACACAGTGGGTATAGAAAAGAATCACCCCCTTTAAATAATCACATTTTGTTGTTTTGCATGCTGAAATGAAGACGGACACAGTTTTTGTTTTATCCAGCTGTATGATTGTGCAACATCCAACACCAACATGTCAGAAAAAATTAAAAACCAGAGTCACTGAGTTGTTATAACATCACTTGGTTGCATTGTTTGAGTGTAGGATGTCCTGTATTCATGGTGTGCTGTGTTTTTGCAGGACGCTGAGGAAGACTCTGAGCGTGCTCATCAGATGACTCTGCTGCGGCGTTTGTGTCTGCCCATGATGTCGTTCCTTTTGTTAACCGTTCTGCAGCGCACTGAACGCCACCAGGAGAGTCTGCGGCTGGCTGACATCATCGCCTCTGACCAACACAGATTATATGAGGTGTGCTGTCTGAAACCTTTAAAGAAATATTCTTAATATAAACATGAATATTGCTTGATTGAAATTGCAAGAGGCCACTCCTTCACTCTTGAACATAAGTGTTCATGGTAAATGGGATACTGTCTTGTTTTTATATTCATTCATCTGAATGTTCTTTCTCTGTCAGGTTTTTTCTAAAGAGGAGCTGCAGAAGTTTCTCCAGAAGATGAGGGAATCCTCTCTACTCTTGCTGGATAAAGGGCTGGATCCTCTTGGATATGAGATTCAGCCCTAGACACTGTTTGTTTCTCGTGCTGTTTATGTCCTCAGGAAAAAAAATTAAAAGCTTTGTAATTTTGTATTTGAATAAAGATTCATTGTTGTGAATTTGGTAAATTGTTTAACTGGAGAGGCATTTTTTTCCATATTTCTTCCTCAAGAGTTATGCATTTCTTTCCATTTGTATTAATGTCACTGTGCAATATTTGTGAAAACACATCTGTTTAGGCAAGATGGGTTGGTTTTCACACTTGTTACTCCAGTTGAATCATTTTTCAGGGTAAGTGTATTTCTGAACATTGAAAAAAATACCATGGAAGTCTAATTTTTTGTTAAGTTTAATCTCCTTCCTGTTAGTTGTTCTGCAACCAGTGTCACTCACAAGCTTCACTACAACTCATTTTTAGTTTGGTTCCAATGCATTGCAGGTTAAACATGTACTGCAGTTCAGTTATATTTTGTCCTCTGTGTTCTAATCTAACGATTGATAGATTACTTAATGTGTATTCAATGTGTTTAAGTTAAAAAAAAAAATCGCTCCGAATCATTCAGACTGAATCGCAAATCAATTCAAACAATTCAAAGATTCATTTAAAAGAACCGATTAAAAAGAATGATTCAATCGAAATAGGGCATCGTTAGTTCCAATTACAAACAGCTGGCAGAAAATACTGGTCACACGACTTTACTGAATTCTTAAATGAACTTTTCCGACCATAGTGATAGAAAGTGAAGTCAATATAAAATCATTATTGGAAAGTCTTTTCACAGTCACGACAATGTCCAACCGAGGCGCTAGTTCATCCGTCAAATCTTAATTAAGCGACACAGGCTTTGAGAGGCTACGCGCGCGGACCACAAAACTGATGGAAAACCTAAACCTTCAGATGATACGGAACTTATACATTATCTCCGCCTCTGTAAGTTAACGTACTAAAAAAAACACACACACGAAAATAATTTTGATTATAGGCTAGTAGTATGCGGTTGTCACTTTTGTAGCTGTGTGTGTGTGTGAACGTAGCCGTGTTACGTATTAATTTTCAAATTGTCATAAATCAACATCTCAGGGAAATGTTTCAAATCAAAATATGGCATTCTGTTACGAAACAGGACATCATTTCATACATGTCCACTGTAGAGGACACCAGGACTAAAAGAATGTTTATTATACATTTTGGGAGACAAAAGAATTGAATAGGAAAACAAATTATATATCAACATTCTTATGAAATATTAGATATTATTATGAAAATCTGGCCAGTTACTACTCCCATTATTACACTTCTTTTTTCAACATGCTGTCCCAACAGCACTTTAATATGCAAATTAGATACAGCGTATAGATAACATTGTGCTTAATGGGAAAACCAGTTATAAATCCATATATTTTATAACCTAGTTGAGAACCGTCCTTAAACAAAGTTAGTTATGAAACCTAAAAGTTGATTGGTGATTTTTTTAAAAATTCCCAATGTTTTTGCCTTTTCGTGTCTACTCGTGTCATTTTATTTTTTAGAAAAACCGAGTCCTGGTGTCCTCTACAGAGGACATAGCATAACTTATGAATAAAATATAATTTTTCAAAAATGTTATTTTACCATTTTTCTCTTATGCTCTAAACAATGTAATGACATGGAAAAAAATACTAAATTCACAAAGCTTTTTATTTCTGGTTCTCAGGAGGATATACATAATGTGTGTTTTGGCCAACAGACCTTGTGACAATTAGTCCCAGACCATTTAGGCCAAAGTACCTTTTCGTATGTTTCATTGTATTTTATTTAGGCTACTATACTGCAGTATTTCTTTTTTTCTATTTATTTGTACAGCATGAATTATGCGATTGCTTTGACACTGATGATCTTTACAGTCACGCCAAAAGGGAAATAGCTGCGTTGACTTTGACCTTGTTAGCTTGTTAGTCTTGGATTGCACTGGTTCACTGGTCATGTCCCTTTTTTACTTCCAAGGGGACCGCAGGGTGATTTAAATAATTACATTTAAATTAATAAATTATTCTTCATATTTAAAAAAAATTATCTAACTCTCCATTGAAACACATACACAATCCAGATGTAAACTCGAATCATATTTATTTTTCCCCACAATAACTAATGCTTTTTTTTTTATTGAAGAACAAGCCGTTCTTAAAATGTCTAATCTCAAAATAATGGTTAATTTAATATATCAATATTCTGATTTATGTTCATGAAAAAGCAGCTTTGTCATAATTCAACAACAAAAAAAACAGGGTAGCCTTCAAGTCAAAAAGACTGAGAACCACAATTCAAAGTTAAAACATGCTTATTAAAGCACACGGTATAGTTTGCCATGTGTAGGTGTAGAGTTGCTATGCTCATCAGTAATCGGTGAGTAAACATTGGTGGCACAAACATATACCTCTAAAAACATGAAATCAATCCCTCCCTCCAGTAAACAGCTGTAAAAGTGGAAGAGAAGCGTTATGGGAGGCTAATGGGATGGATGAGTGATTGATCACAGTGCAGATGGGATGAGGTTCAAAGTCAAGCCCATCAGAATGCTGGAAGAATGACATTATATAGAGACACTGGTACACCACTAATGGCTTTATATGTAACAGCAATGAATTAATCAGTAAAATCATTAAGCAATTTCACATAAGTAAGAGTGCTGTTGTTCTGAACACGTTAGTACTGAGTAACTGAACTGCCGGTTGCTTTGTCTGTTTGTGCACCACTAGTGTGCAAACTGTCTCTCACAATAATAATGTAACATGCAAAAAGGGTCACTAAAAATCCCTGACAGGCAGACTGAGAAAACCAAAAAAAAAAAAAGATTATTTTAGAATAAAGCAAACATGAAAAAGCACAAATAAATAAAAAATTGGATATTTAGATATAAGAAAAGTAACAGTATTAAAGACATTTTCGAAATTTTTTTTTTTTTACGGAACAGGACAATTGTTTATAAATAATAAATCAATTGTTTTTATTTACATTTATATATTTATTTCCATACATTTATTAGCCAGTTGTAGGTTTGACTTGTTTTTAAATAAAACGATAAATATAACAAAAATAAAATAATGGGGTAAGAAAATGCCAAATTCAAAAACTGATACTCTTATTATCTTAAGTTTGTATTAAAATGATCTTATTTTAAGGATACTCAGATTTTTTTTTCTTGTAAAACAAAAAAAAAAGGCATTATAAATAAAATAAATATTAGCATTTATTTATTGTCCCCAATTATTTAGCTTTTATTCTAACTCGGCATGACTTTTATCAGTATAACAATATAATAGAGAGTTTTCAGTCCAGGTTTCATTGATTTCACATTGTGAAACAATCAAAGCCACACATCTCCTTTAAATTATGACCTTACTTGTAAACTTGAGATAAGCACAGAGAACATGACCAAAGAAAAAAAAAAAACAATTACTGAAAGACCCTTGTAGGAAGACTCTTCATTATTGTCACAGGACTGTGCAGGACATAAGATTAAAGCACATCTTCCTGATAGTGATCCACAATCTGTCCTGTGGGTTGTTGTCCGTGTAAGCTCAGCTGAGAAACTCGAAGCTTAAATCACTCATTCTGACAGGAGGCGATTGCTTGCCAGGAAGTAAGTGTACAGTGAACCCTGGTGTGTCAGCCCTATGGGGGCGTTTCTTAATCTAGATCCAAACAAACGCAGCAGATCCTCCTGCTCTCCAAATCAGCAGACGTTTGACAAGTTTGTTAGGGCTCTTTAAAAGGCTGTTTCCCAGGGGGTTGGTTGAGCACTCTTCATTCGGTGTTAATAAAGGTCGCACTGCTTCTTGGCTGAATAGATAGACGTGTTTGATCTCACCGCAGGAAATGTTAAAGGGGTCATATGACGTTGCTAAAAAGAACATTATGTTGTGTATTTGGTGTAATGCAATGTGTTTATGCGGTTTAAGTTTCAAAAAGCATTATTTTACACATACTGTACATTATTGTTGCTCCTCTATGCCCCGCCTTTCTGAAACGCGTCGATTTTTACAAAGCTCATCGGTCTGAAAAGCGAGGTGTACGCTGATTGGCCAGCTATTCAGTGTGTTGTGATTGGCCGAATACCTCAAGCATGTGACGGAAATATTACGCCCCTCACCATACTGTGATGCTGTGTCCCGGAGCGACGAGACAAAAACAATAAAAACCCATTATAAACGCATTTGTTGCATCCAGTTTGGACATAATTACGGATTATAATGACTTATACTGTCTTTTGATAAACATAAAACATAAAACCATGTCTGCATTTGTGATCGGAGAAACGGCAGACAACAAGCCCTACTCTACACTGCTCAAAACTCGCATTTGAATCGTCAGTGGCAAATTCTTTAACAGAAGAACTTATTCTTTTACTTACAGGCTGTGAGTCAGAAGCGCCAGACTGTCCTTGCAAAGTTGGAACTGCCCCACTTTATAGAAACAGGCACCGGCATTGTAGGCTACTCTCCTAGGAAACAGTCCTCATCCTCCACAAAATGTGCTGGACACATCTGAATATTTGGGTTGAAGTGTTCTGGAACAGTGTTGTAAATACAACTTAACCACTGATTTCTAGTCGTGTCCTCTTTTGGAAGGCCAAACAAAGTAGTTTAGCTTTCACAGCGAAACACACAGCGAGCTAGAGTGAGGAACGGCCAGCAGGCTTGAGTGAGACCAGCACGGATCAGCTCCAGGCATGACGAAGCAGATGTCGTCCTCTTTTGGAAGGCCAAACAAATTAGTTTCGCTTTCACAACGAAACACAGCGTCTTCACGACATGGCGGCGGCAACAACAATACTACAGCGAGAATAAAAGTTACACCTTCTTTCTTTGCGTGAACATTTGGGCGGCGTTATGCAAATCTTCCCACATTGTGACGTAGACATGTGGGGGCGTGTTAGAACGAGCCGTTTTAGGTAGGTGTGGCTGACTCTTAACTTTTATAAAGAATATCTCTTTAGGTTTGAGACTTTAGTCTTTGGAACTTTCCAGATCTTCTTTATGCACCAAGAGCTTGTAACACTCCAAAGAGAAAGGAAAAATTGAAATCACATCATATGACCCCTTTAAAGAACTTCTTGTGTGTTTGCCCTGTCCACACGAACGCGGTTATTTTTAAAACCGCAGCTTTT